CTCATCTTTCTTCTCCTATTTTTGTCTCTTATTATATTTTGTTGTTGTTCTTTAGATTTTCATATTTATGTGCGTGACAAATCTATTTTGTGTTTTAATTTCAGTTGTTTGTGGAATGGATGTTTGCTTTTGAAAGATTAAGAAGAGTTGAAGGAGAAAAGTTTGCAAGGCGAGCTTATGATTGAAAAGATAAGTATATATATTCGTCCTAGTTGCGTTGACTTTATTTTATATGTAAAATATGTTTTACACTTGACTATTTCTACTTGTTTTTGTGTTTATTGTTTGTTATGATCATTCTTTCTATTATTTTCATCCCCCAATACTCTCATTATCCGATAGGTTCCTTTTCATTTATCGTTGTTGTTTTCATGTTTTTCCAAACCTTTAATTGTTTAGCACTTTTTTGATAATATGTATTTTGTTCGCTTTTCTATTCTAGGAGTTATGTTTTATTTCTCTATTTTATTACCTTTCTATTAAATTGTTATATGTTGGAAATAAAGTTGAATTATTTGGAGGAGAGCAAAAGGACAAAAGTATGAAAGAATATTAGGAGTTTGTAGCATGTAAAAGTGATTAATAGAACGTAGAATTCAAAGAGGTTTAGGCCATAGGGCTCGGGGATTAGAGCTATAGGTGTTTTGGGTTAAGGTTTAGAGGTTTAGGGGTTTAGGTGTTAGAGGTTAGGAATAGGGGTTACGGGGATAAGGGCTAAGAGTTAAGGTTTAAAGGCTTAGGGGTATGGATTTGGGTTTAGTGTTCTTTTGCTTCTTTTGCTCCACTACCTCATCATTCTTCTCTTATTTTTGTCTCTTATTATGTTTTGTTGTTGTTCTTTAGATTTTCATATTTATGTGCGTGACAAACCTATATTGTGTTTTAATTTCAGTTGTTTGTGGAATGGATGTTTGCTTTTGAAAGATTGAGAAGAGTTGAAGGAGAAAAGTTTGCAAGGCGAGCTTATGATTGAAAAGATAAGTATATATATTCGTCCTAGTTGCGTTGACTTTATTTTATATGTAAAATATGTTTTACACTTGACTATTTCTACTTGTTTTTGTGTTTATTGTTTGTTATGATCATTCTTTCTACTATTTTCCTCCCCCAATACTCTCATTATCCAATAGGTTCCTTTTCATTTATCGTTGTTGTTTTCATGTTTTTTCAAACCTTTAATTGTTTAGCACTTTTTTGATAATATGTATTTTGTTCGCTTTTCTATTCTAGGAGTTATGTTTTATTTCTCTATTTTATTACCTTTCTATTAAATTGTTATATGTTGAAAGGAATGTTGAAATATTTGGAGGAGAGCAAAAGGACAAAGTATGGAAGAATATAACGAGTTTGTAGCATGTAAAGGTGACTAATAGAACGTAGAATTCGAAGAGGTTTAGGCCATAGGGCTCGGGGATTAGAGCTATAGGTATTTTGGGTTAAGATTTAGGGGTTTAGGGCTTTATGTGTTAGAGGTTAGGGGTAGGGGTTACGGGGATAAGGGCTAAGAGTTAAGGTTTAAAGGCTTAGGGGATAAGGATTTGGGTTTAGTGTTCTTTTGCTTCTTTTGCTCCACTAGCTCATCTTTCTTCTCCTATTTTTGTCTCTTATTATATTTTGTTGTTGTTCTTTAGATTTTCATATTTATGTGCGTGACAAATCTATTTTGTGTTTTAATTTCAGTTGTTTGTGGAATGGATGTTTGCTTTTGAAAGATTAAGAAGAGTTGAAGGAGAAAAGTTTGCAAGGCGAGCTTATGATTGAAAAGATAAGTATATATATTCGTCCTAGTTGCGTTGACTTTATTTTATATGTAAAATATGTTTTACACTTGACTATTTCTACTTGTTTTTGTGTTTATTGTTTGTTATGATCATTCTTTCTATTATTTTCATCCCCCAATACTCTCATTATCCGATAGGTTCCTTTTCATTTATCGTTGTTGTTTTCATGTTTTTCCAAACCTTTAATTGTTTAGCACTTTTTTGATAATATGTATTTTGTTCGCTTTTCTATTCTAGGAGTTATGTTTTATTTCTCTATTTTATTACCTTTCTATTAAATTGTTATATGTTGGAAAGAAAGTTGAATTATTTGGAGGAGAGCAAAAGGACAAAGTATGGAAGAATATTAGGAGTTTGTAGCATGTAAAAGTGATTAATAGAACGTAGAATTCAAAGAGGTTTAGGCCATAGGGCTCGGGGATTAGAGTTATAGGTGTTTTGGGTTAAGGTTTAGGGGTTTAGGTGTTAGAGGTTAGGGGTAGGGGTTACGGGGATAAGGGCTAAGAGTTAAGGTTTAAAGGCTTAGGGGATAAGGATTTGGGTTTAGTGTTCTTTTGCTTCTTTTGCTCCACTAGCTCATCTTTCTTCTCCTATTTTTGTCTCTTATTATATTTTGTTGTTGTTCTTTAGATTTTCATATTTATGTGCGTGACAAATCTATTTTGTGTTTTAATTTCAGTTGTTTGTGGAATGGATGTTTGCTTTTGAAAGATTAAGAAGAGTTGAAGGAGAAAAGTTTGCAAGGCGAGCTTATGATTGAAAAGATAAGTATATATATTCGTCCTAGTTGCGTTGACTTTATTTTATATGTAAAATATGTTTTACACTTGACTATTTCTACTTGTTTTTGTGTTTATTGTTTGTTATGATCATTCTTTCTATTATTTTCATCCCCCAATACTCTCATTATCCGATAGGTTCCTTTTCATTTATCGTTGTTGTTTTCATGGTTTTTCAAACCTTTAATTGTTTAACACTTTTTTGATAATATGTATTTTGTTCGTTTTTCTATTCTTGAAATATTGTTTTATTTCTTTTTTTTATTACCTTTCTATTAAATTGTTATATATTGGAAAGAAAGTTGAATTATTTGGAGGAGTGCAAAAGGACAAAGTATGGAATAATATTAGGAGTTTGTAACATGTAAATGAGATTAATAGAACGCAGAATTCAAAGAAGTTTAGGCCATAGGGCTCGGGTATTAGAGTTATAGGTGTTAGAGGTTAGGGGTAGGGTTTACGGGGATATAGGCTAAGAGTTAAGGTTTAAAGGCTTAGGGGATATGGATTTGGGTTTAGTGTTCTTTTGCTTCTTTTGCTCCACTACCTCATCATTCTTCTCTTATTTTTGTCTCTTATTATGTTTTGTTGTTGTTCTTTAGATTTTCATATTTATGTGCGTGACAATCCTATATTGTGTATTAATTTCAGGTATTTGTGGAATGGATGTTTGATTTTTAAAGATTAAGAAGAGTTGAAGGATAAAAGTTTACAAGGCGAGCTTATGATTGAAAAGATAAGTATATATATTCGTCCTAGTTGCGTTGACTTTATTTTATATGTAAAATATGTTTTACACTTGACTATTTCTACTTGTTTTTGTGTTTATTGTTTGTTTTAATCATTCTTTCTATTATTTTCATCCCCCAATACTCTCATTATCCGATAGGTTTCTTTTCATTTATCGTTGTTGTTTTCATGTTTTTTCAAACCTTTAATTGTGTAGCACTTTTTTGATAATATGTATTTTGTTCGCTTTTCTATTCTAGGAATTATGTTTTATTTCTTTTTTTTATTATCTTTCTATTAAATTGTTATATGTTGGAAAGAAAGTTGAATTATTTGGAGGAGAGCAAAAGGACAAAGTATGGAAGAATATTAGGAGTTTGTAGCATGTAAAAGTGATTAATAGAACGTAGAATTCAAAGAGGTTTAGGCCATAGGGCTCGGGGATTAGAGTTATAGGTGTTTTGGGTTAAGGTTTAGGGGTTTAGGTGTTAGAGGTTAGGGGTAGGGGTTACAGGGATATGGGCTAAGAGTTAAGGTTTAAAGACTTAGGGGATATGGATTTGGGTTTATTGTTCTTTTGCTTCTTTTGCTCCACTAGCTCATCTTTCTTCTCCTATTTTTGTCTCTTATTATATTTTGTTGTTGTTCTTTAGATTTTCATATTTATGTGCGTGACAAATCTATTTTGTGTTTTAATTTCAGTTGTTTGTGGAATGGATGTTTGCTTTTGAAAGATTAAGAAGAGTTGAAGGAGAAAAGTTTGCAAGGCGAGCTTATGATTGAAAAGATAAGTATATATATTCGTCCTAGTTGCGTTGACTTTATTTTATATGTAAAATATGTTTTACACTTGACTATTTCTACTTGTTTTTGTGTTTATTGTTTGTTATGATCATTCTTTCTATTATTTTCATCCCCCAATACTCTCATTATCCGATAGGTTCCTTTTCATTTATCGTTGTTGTTTTCATGTTTTTCCAAACCTTTAATTGTTTAGCACTTTTTTGATAATATGTATTTTGTTCGCTTTTCTATTCTAGGAGTTATGTTTTATTTCTCTATTTTATTACCTTTCTATTAAATTGTTATATGTTGGAAAGAAAGTTGAATTATTTGGAGGAGAGCAAAAGGACAAAGTATGGAAGAATATTAGGAGTTTGTAGCATGTAAAAGTGACTAATAGAACGTAGAATTCAAAGAGGTTTAGGCCATAGGGCTCGGGGATTAGAGCTATAGGTGTTTTGGGTTAAGGTTTAGGGGTTTAGGTGTTAGAGGTTAGGGGTAGGGGTTACTCGAATAAGGGCTAAGAGTTAAGGTTTAAAGGCTTAGGGGATAGGGATTTGGGTTTTTTGTTTTTTTTCTTTTTTTGCTCCCCTAGCTCATCATTTNATATGGATTTGGGTTTATTATTTTTTTGCTTTTTTTGCTCCACTAGCTCATCATTCTTCTCGTATTTTTGTCTGTTATTGTTTTTTGTTGTTGTTCTTTAGATTTTGATATTTATGTGGGTGACAAATCTATTTTGTGTTTTAATTTCATTTGTTTGTAGAATGGATGTTTGCTTTTGAAAGACTAAGAAGAGTTGAAGGAGATAAGTTTGCAAGGCGAGCTTATGATTGAAAAGATAAGTATATCTATTCGTCCTCCNTGTATTTTGTTCTCTTTTCTATTATAGAAATTTTGTTGAACAGCAGAAGGCACAAAAGTGGCATTAATCCAGTTGAACAGCAGCTGAAATTCCAGCTGTAATCAGGTGAACAGACGCATGAAAAGCAGCTGCAAAGGGTGAGAGCAGAGGCAGCTGAAATTCATCAGAAAAGGCAGCAGTAACACCATAAGAGAAAGCAGCTGGGATCCCGCTGAAAGCCAGTTAATTCAGAGCAGCCGCTGGAACCGAGGAAAGAAACAAAAAAATAGCTGAAAAAAATCAGCTGCAACAGCATCTGGACTGTTCACGTGAACAGTCCCCTTCTGATCAGAACCCACACACAGCCGCCAGCACTCCTTCATTGCAAAACCAAAAAAATAGTAGAGAGGCCAGCTGAGTGGCTCATACAAGCAAGAAACCAATTGGAAAACCAGCTGGAAAACAAGAACATTCGGCAGTGCAGTAACCGGACTGCTCACGTGAGCAGTGGACTTGGACAGAGAAGAAATGCTGCTGAACAGAACCGTGAAATACCAACATCTGAGAGGAAGCCAATAAATGCCAACATGATACAGCAGAAGGCGTAAAAGTAACAATAAATCTCAGCTAGGAGCAGCTGAAGTCCCAGCTGAAAACCAACTGTGTTCCAGTCAATAAACCAACTGAGATCAGCTGGAAGAGACAATCTGCAGCAATCGCGAAGCAGTTCACATGAACAGTGCATCCAGACAACAAGCAGCAGAAAAGCAACATGAGAACCCCCACAACAGCATTAAAGAAACAGATGTTGCCTGAAAAACCAGCAGGAACAAGGGAAACCAGCAGAGTCCTCCAAACTGAAAGCACCACATCACAGAGAGAACCAGTTGGAAAGAAAATCAGCTGACTAGAGCAAAACCAGCTAAACAGTCCAATGACCATAAACCATGGCAGCCTTAGCAAAAGCCCCATCATGTGAAATGGATCCATAATATAGGTAAAAAATCACAAAAATGGCGCACTTTTTCCTTGGCGTTTTAACACCTTGTTGATCCTGCATCTGGATTAATTTAACCCGGAGAGGAATCTTTAAATCAAGTGTGAAATCCGAAGAGGTACCCTCCAAAACAGCAAATCACAAATTCTCCAAAACTTCCAGGCCCTCATGTGCCCTTTCATTATCATTTGAACCATCATGGCCGAATCAGTTTCAATCTGAAGATTATAATTTAGAAGTCCATAACTTCTAAATAGCAATAAACCATCCTTGAGAGCATGCAACTCAGCTTCCGTGTTGGAACACACCTCGTAAAAAAAAGAAGCAGCCAGAACTATGTGCCCCAAGTCATTCCTTACCACAGCTCCGCCCCCAGCTCTTCCAGGATTTTCTTTCGATGCCCCATCCACATTTAGCTTTAAAATGCCCGAAGGAGGAAGGGACCAGTTTATGCAAATAATTTTTTGTTTCAGCTCATGCCTCAGCTCTACCTTTAATGCCCTCAAGAATTCCATACCAATCATGCCTTCCTTATCTTTGGGTCTAACGCCATAAGCCTGAAGACGCAGAGTGGAGCAGATATCTAGAAACACAGCATAGGCCGAGAGTGAGCTATCTTCATAGACCCTTCTGCATCGCTCCCTCCATAATCTCCAAATTACCACCAGTGGAACACCTCTTAACAAGTTCTGACTTACAGAGTGTTTTTTTAAAATTTTGATCAGTCTCATCATACAAACCAGAGGATTCAGCGGAGAAAACCTGAAAACCACGAAATGCAGCCAGTTTCCCCCAAACCTCTTTATCAAAGTTGCATTGTATGAACAGGTGAGAAGTAGATTCCACAGCCTTGTAACGTAGAGAACATCTGCTGGCCAAATCAACACCGACCCGTTGGAAGTTTGAGTCCTCTACTACTGCTTTCTGATATATCTTCCAGCCCAGCAGTTTTGCACTTGGGAAAACCGATTGGTTCCAGATCACAGAGGTCACAGGCACAGGGACACTCGAAGCTCTCACTGCCTCCCAAGCAGACTTGACATTGGACTCTCCCGAATCAGTTAATTTCCATATCAGTCGATCTTCCTTTTCGCTTAAACAAATCATAGAATTCTGTACTTCATGCTTTAACTGTTCAGATACCTGCACCCCCAAACTTTGCCACTGCCAGCACCCATCAGCCCATAACTCATCCAGGCATGGAAAGCACGAGGGAGAAACGACATACCTGAGCAGAAGAGGGCCAGATCCAGATCCAGTCCAGTTCGAACACCAAAAGTCAACATTCTTCCCATTCCCCACCATGACCTGTGAGTTGGTCATAATCAAGCTAAAGAAAGGTTGCAGCATTCGAAATATACGCATTTTTCCAGTACCCGTGCATCGCATCAAGTGATTGCCTTTTAAGAATTTTTCTCTAAACATGTTTGCCCACAGAGAGTCGCCCTTAAGAATACCCCATGCCTGCTTCCAACGGTATGCCGTTTGGATATCTTCAAATTTACGAATCCCTAGGCCCCCCCTCTTGCTTGGGTCTTGTAATTACAGACCATGAAACCCAATGCCTTTTCCTCTCCCCCATCCTGCCTAGCCACATAAAGGAGGCCATGAGAGAATTCAACTTTGCCAGGATGCCTTTGGGCACGCTTAGACAAGCGAGCAAATGAATAGGAACAGAATTAAGGACTGATTTAATCAACACAATTCTGCCCATGTTTGAAAGTAAGCGTGCGTACCACCCTTCCATTTTGGCTTTGAATTTTAGGACCACATCCTCAAAATCCCGCAGTTTATATCTTCCTCTTATCATGGGGCATCCCAGGTAGACGAAGGGACATTGTTTTATTGGAATTTGAGCAATTCTGGATAGAGTCATTGTCCTGCCCCGAGGAATATTGGAGGAACATATGAAAGAGCTTTTATGTTTACTTATCCTCTGTCCAGAGCTATCCTTGTATCTTGCCAAAAACCTCATCAATCGTTCCATGGAAAGTTTATTACCCCTAAGAAACAGTAGAGTATCATCTGCAAAAAGCAGATGAGAGACAAGAAGTGCATTCCTCCCTGCATGAAAAGCCTTGATTCTGCCTTCACCATACAGCTTCAACAGTCCTCTACTTAAAACCTCCTCTGCCAGAATAAAGAGAGCCGGAGAAATTGGGTCACCTTGTCTCAGTCCTCTAGACGAAGGAAAGAAACCGAATCTTTTCCCATTCAAGCAGACCGAGAAAAATTGATTCTTTAAGCAGTTGCCAATGATAGAAATGAACAAGCTTGAAAAGCCAAAACAAGTCAAGGTTCTTTTCAAAAAATCCCACTCTATGCGATCGTACGCCTTCATCATATCCAGTTTAAGAATCACGTTGCCAGCCTCAACTTTCCTATCAAGCTCTACCACCATTAACTGAGCTAAAGAAATACAGTCCCCAATCCCTCTCCCTTTGACAAAACCATGCTATGCATTTGAAATCAGAGATGGAAGAAGGGAAGCAAGTCTATTGGATAGGATCTTAGTGAAGACTTTGTATAAAAAATTGCATAGACTTATGGGCCTGAACTCTGAGAAAGAACAGGGCTTCAACACTTTTGGATATCGTATTGGCTACAACATATATTAAAATAATTTATTTCAAATTAACACTTTTTGTTAATGATGAAATCTAGTGAGTCAACTTTAATAAATAGTTCAAGTAATAACATAAACAAATTATAAATTCAGGCGTCCTGAACTTGAATTTTAACAATTTATTGGGGTATGATTATGAAGGATTTATCCTTCATGAATACCTTAATTCTAGTATGTATGAATTATTTTTGACCGAACTAGAAAAAAAATTAGACAAAACATGCATAAACTGATCTAGACACTCCTCACGTATAAAAAAAAAAAATTGGTGAGCCAATTCATACAGTGTTTTGAGTTGTGATATTCTCTTTCTTGTGACCGGTGCTATGTTAGACATGACTTAACCTTAAAACTTCTCTGCATGGAGGTAGAGGCTGATCAATGTCTATATGACCGAATTTGTAACCAAAAACCTTCGATTATTTATTTATAAACATTGATCATGAAAAAATAGAATTAAATAAAACAATAAAATAAAATAACTTTACATACCACACTTCGCGTGTCATATGTGGCAGCTGATTGGTGTAACGTACATGAAATTGTTGGGTCTTGTTAAAGGAAAATGCAACACATCAACTTTGTGTCACGGTCATACAGTTGTAATCCTCTAGTATCTAGGGGGGAGCACTGTCATTAATGTATAACTTGCTATTAAAAGTAGTAATTTTTGATACAGTACCATTTTCTTTTTTTATGGTCAATTTTTTTATAATTAATATCTATATAATAAAGTACAATAGAATTCAAATTTTAAATGATAAATAAAATAATTTTTATTTTTCACAGTTGAGACTTTTTAAATTTTACTTTAAAATTTATCTAATGGTTAATATTAATACCCAAAATTTAATAGGGAGGGATGTGTTTTAGGTGACTTTTTAAAAGTATTTTTAAAACTTATACTTCTCATAAGTATTTTAAAAAAAAAATAGTGTTTATCACCGTCCTAACATTACCACTACTACCACCACCCCCTCCAGCTCCACCACCATCACCACTACCACCACCGCCACCACTCTACTACCATAACTACCCCCACCNAGTCCCCAATCCCTCTCCCTTTGACAAAACCATGCTATGCATTTGAAATCAGAGATGGAAGAAGGGAAGCAAGTCTATTGGATAGGATCTTAGTGAAGACTTTGTATAAAAAATTGCATAGACTTATGGGCCTGAACTCTGAGAAAGAACAGGGCTTCAACACTTTTGGATATCGTATTGGCTACAACATATATTAAAATAATTTATTTCAAATTAACACTTTTTGTTAATGATGAAATCTAGTGAGTCAACTTTAATAAATAGTTCAAGTAATAACATAAACAAATTATAAATTCAGGCGTCCTGAACTTGAATTTTAACAATTTATTGGGGTATGATTATGAAGGATTTATCCTTCATGAATACCTTAATTCTAGTATGTATGAATTATTTTTGACCGAACTAGAAAAAAAATTAGACAAAACATGCATAAACTGATCTAGACACTCCTCACGTATAAAAAAAAAAAATTGGTGAGCCAATTCATACAGTGTTTTGAGTTGTGATATTCTCTTTCTTGTGACCGGTGCTATGTTAGACATGACTTAACCTTAAAACTTCTCTGCATGGAGGTAGAGGCTGATCAATGTCTATATGACCGAATTTGTAACCAAAAACCTTCGATTATTTATTTATAAACATTGATCATGAAAAAATAGAATTAAATAAAACAATAAAATAAAATAACTTTACATACCACACTTCGCGTGTCATATGTGGCAGCTGATTGGTGTAACGTACATGAAATTGTTGGGTCTTGTTAAAGGAAAATGCAACACATCAACTTTGTGTCACGGTCATACAGTTGTAATCCTCTAGTATCTAGGGGGGAGCACTGTCATTAATGTATAACTTGCTATTAAAAGTAGTAATTTTTGATACAGTACCATTTTCTTTTTTTATGGTCAATTTTTTTATAATTAATATCTATATAATAAAGTACAATAGAATTCAAATTTTAAATGATAAATAAAATAATTTTTATTTTTCACAGTTGAGACTTTTTAAATTTTACTTTAAAATTTATCTAATGGTTAATATTAATACCCAAAATTTAATAGGGAGGGATGTGTTTTAGGTGACTTTTTAAAAGTATTTTTAAAACTTATACTTCTCATAAGTATTTTAAAAAAAAAATAGTGTTTATCACCGTCCTAACATTACCACTACTACCACCACCCCCTCCAGCTCCACCACCATCACCACTACCACCACCGCCACCACTCTACTACCATAACTACCCCCACCACCATAACCGTCGCCACCCCAACCCCACCCCCACCTTTACCAAAACAACCACTACCATCACCATCGTTATCATCACCACCCCCCACCTCCCCACCACCACCACCACAACCCTTACTACCACTATCACCATGGCCACCCCCACCACCAAACTGCAGCTACCGCCACTGTCCCACCATCACCCACGACCACCGTCACCACCACCACTACCCCACCACCTCCACTACTCCAGTGCCACCACTACCACCATTATCACTCACTACTAAATACTACTATGGTAGTCCACTCACCCCATCCACTACCATTATCATCTCATTATTATATTTATTACCACTACCACCATAATCCAACTATCACCATCATCTATCGTCAACACCCACCACCACCAGCCACCGCCACTCACTACCACCATAACCATCACCGTTTCTCACCACCATTACTGTCATCTACCGGTGCTCACTCACACTACAATCAGTATTTAAAATTCTTTTCTCTATTCTCTATATTTGTGATTTGATTACGGGTGTGAATATAAATATTTTTATTATTGACCATTTTTTTATTACTCTGTGCCTTCAGGCACATGTAATAACGAATATACTAATATTAAATATCCGATCCCATTACAATACAAAAAAAATGTTTTCTTTAATATCTTATCTCCACTTCTTAACAAATAAAAATGTGCCATGGACACAATATTTTTTATTTTTATTACTTCATTATTTTTTTATTCAGCAGTTGTAAATCATCCAACTTAAACTCAATGGTCAATATTAATAGAGGTAAAATACCAAACCGACTTAGTTACCATAGAGTTAACCAGTGTATCTCTTTTGGGAAAAATTATTGAGTGTAACTTTTACACCATGTTAACAGTGTTACGTGATGTAACCGTTTATTAATAAGTAAACAAATCAAGAAGTGAGTCCCACTAAAACTCATAACTCTAGTCCTGTAATACACAATCATATCCATGATAAAAAATAAGCAATATTTTATCCTTTTTATTTTTGTTATTGGCCGATTACACTCGATATTTACTCCTCTTCTGGTATGTAAACGAGGCAAAAGACAAACGGCTTGGCCGTTGGATTACTCACACAAAGCATGAAATTCACAAAATTAGGGTAATCTCAGGACCACTTTAATGTTTGTCATTGTCCTCTCGTTTGTCGGGTAATTTTATGGCACCCAAAAACCATTGGTACTGTAGCCAAAGTTATTATTATTATTATTTTTTGGGATCAAGTTATACATTTTAAATATGAAATTACACTTTCTTACGATGCTTCATGATTTTTTAGTTGTAATTTATATCTTAAAAAATTATAATTTTTATTATGATGGTACCACAGGCGATATTACAGT